AGGAAGATACGACTGCATGAGCACAGAATGTCGGAGGTCCGCGCGGATGTCCCGGACCTGCGCAGGAGCCCCTTGGCGGCGCTCCCGGGGCCGCCCCGAGCGCGCTCCGCGCGCGAGGGGGGCCCGGCGTCGCTCCAAAAGGTCCGCGGAGCTCCAAAAGTGTTTTCGTCGATGCCCTCTGTGTCGACTTCGGTGGAAGGGCCCACGGGCAGATAGGCCACCCAAAGGCCGCGGAGTTCCCCCGCGCGCCGCGCCGCGCCGGGGTTCCGAGGGCCCCGCGGGCCCCGCGAACTCTTCACAGCGGCATCGGGGCGTCCCCCCATCAGACGCGACGCTGGAGAGAATCCTGCACCGCGAGAAATCGTGACTGGAGCCCCAGGCCCTCTCTCTCTGCATCTTCTGTCGCGCCGGAGCGATCTGTGAGGGCCCTGGGGCCCGAAACCGGACGACAGCGCCCGGTACGCTTGGCGCTCTGCGCGGATCTCTTGGATCTGCGCCTGGGCGGGTCCGCCCACCCGACCCGCCCGTTAGGGCCCGCCTGTTAGGGCCCGCCCGCCCGACCCGACCCGACCCGCCCGTTTGGGCTCTCCCGTGCCATCGCGATTATGCACCGCACTTTAATAATGTCCCGCCCGATGGGGTCCGCTCGCCCGACCCCGCCAGGGGGGCCTCTGGGCCCGGCGAGGGCCTGTAGAGGCCGAAAAGGGAGAAAAACCTCCGTCTTGATTTTTTCAATGCGTTGGATCTCTGGGGATGCCACGCGGCGCCAGCCTCGGGCCGCATCCGGAGGCGCTTCGGGCGCTCCGAGCAGCGCTAGGGAGGCCTCACGGGGGGCCTCGGCAGGCTGCTGCAGCTCACCGGCCCCCGTGGCCTGTTTCGGAGACGAGGGGAGGACGGGAGGGGAGCAGGAACAGGGTGAGTGAGGAAGAGGTGAGGAGGAGGAGGAGGAGGAGGAGGAGGAGGAGGAGGAGGAGGAGGAGGAGGGGGAGGAGGAGGAGGAGGAGGAGGAGGAGAGGAGGGAGGAGGAGGAGAGGCGGAGAGGAGGAGGAGGAGGAGGAGGAGGAGGGAGGAGGAGGAGGGAGGAGGGGAGGAGGAGGGAGGAGGAAGAGGAGGGAGGCGGAGTGGTCTGAGATGGGGCAGACGAGGACGAGGAGGAGGAGGAGGAGGTGGAGGAGGAGGAGGAGGGGGAGGACGAGTGGGGCGAGGGGGTGAGGACAAGCTAGTTGCGTTCGCGTCATATCTGACATCCTACCCCTCCCTCCCATCCATCCCTTACCATGGCGTAGATCTCCTCTCTACTCGCACAGTCGGATGTCGAGCAGGGCAATGATCCCGAAAGGGTACGCGATGCATTGTAGAGCACGGCATGGCATGGCGTAGAAGAGCACCGCAAAGCGTAGTATGTTACAGCATGGCGTGGCGTGGCGTAGTGAATAATTGCATCACAAAGCTTTGCAACGCAAAGCATGGCATCGCACGGCGGCCCCCAACATAACATTGCATAGCATGGCGTTGAAGATCAAAGCGCAGCATGGCATAGCATGACGTGGCACTTAAGCACTGGATATGACAGCTGCAGCTGAAGGCATGGCATCGCGCAGCGGAACGCAACCTAGCATTGCATTGCATGCCGTGGCATGGCACGGGAAATGACGCCAGCGCTGCAGCGGGAGCACGATTCGGAACGAGCGGAAGCGCGGAAATGAGGCCAGCGCTGAAGCGGGAGCACGGTTCGGAACGAGCGGAAGCACGGAAATGAGGCCAGCGCTGCAGCGAGAGCACGATTCGGAAGGAGGAAGCCCGAAAATTAAGCCTGCGTTTCGGCGAGAGCATCATTTTGAAAAAAGCACGCGAAGACCCAACTCTGGGAAATCCTGTGTGTAAAAAAGCAGTACGCGGAGGGGTGCCCGCTATCTTCCACACGCCAACAGGGGATGGAGGAGAGTAGTATTCATATTGTGTAATTGTGGAGAGAGGGATGCAGAGAGGAAGGACATCTGCACTGCGAAGGCACCGGGCGCGAAGTCCTGAGTTCCGATGGCGAAGAGGGCACGGACGAGAAGCTGGAGCAGGGAGTGATAGGGGAAGGAAGGGGGGGGGCGAGGAGGATGAGGAGGAGTAGTAGTAGGAGGAGGAGGAGGAGGAGTGGGGGAGGAGGAAGAGGAGCATGAAGAGGAGGAGGAGCAGGAGGAGCAGAGGAAAGGAGGATGAGGTGGAGGAGGAGGAGGAAGGAGGAGCAGGAGGAGCAGGAGGAGGAGGGGGAGGCGAAGGAGAAGGACGAGGAGCAGGAGGAGGAGGAGGAGGAAAGGAGGCGGAGGAGTTGGTGGAGTCTTGGTGGAGGTGGAAGAGGAGAGGAGAGGGAGGCCCGGAGGACAGGGGGGGAGCAGGGGGAGACGTACGGCACCCCCCTCCCACCCCCTATGTCGGCCAGCTCAGCCCCCCACCCCCGCCTCAGGAGGCGGACATGTCCGCCGCGCTCGAGATGTGCAAGAAGTACAAGGACGCGACTGGCCTCTCCTTCTCCTCCTCCTCCTCCTCCTCCTCCTCCTCCTCCTCCTCCTCCTCCTCCTCCTCCTCCTCCTCTTCCCTCTCCGCCTAGGTGGCTTCGCAGCGCGCGGCGGCCCGCAGCCGTCTTGCCCTGCGGCGCGGGCGCGCCCGCGGCGATAGCCCCCAGCCCCACGGAGGGGCGCCCTCGCGAGCGCGAGCGCTCGCCCGCCTGGCACCGCAGGGCGCGGCGCCAGCGCTCTGCCGCCCGTGCTCGGCTTCGGCGGCATCGCGATCGCCTGCTGCTGCAGGCGCACCACGGCAGCCAGCCGCCCATGCATGGGCCCCGCGGCGGAGGCCCCCCTGCGAGCCCAGCGCGCGGCCAGCGGCCGCAGGGCGCGGCGCGCGGCGGCGACGGCCCTGCCGTCTCGGGCGGCGGCACCCCTTGCGGCAAGTGCGGCTGCCGCAAGAACGAGGCGTGGTGGCGCTACTGCAAGCACTGCAAGGGCGAACTTGTGCCGACGCAGGCCCCCCCTCGGCGCCCTCGCTCTGCTGAGCGGCGTGTGGTGCAGCGTGCGCCTTGGCACGACGAGGACGGCCTGCGACCTGGGCCAGGTGGCCGAGCCGATACGCCAGGGGGACGGCGTGACGGCTCCAGGGTCCGCTTCGCCTTGTCCAGCGTGGAAGAGCTGCCCAGCGGCCGCGACGCCGACCCCGAGGAGGCCAAACTGGTGCAGCTCATCAGCTTGCTCCGCCTGGAGCAGGACGAGGGCGGAGTGCGCAAGTACCAGGAGCAGCTCGACAACCTGCGCAGTGCCCGTCGGGCGCGGCCCTTGTCCGTGGACGAGGCCATGGCTGCCAGGGACGCGGCAGCTGAGGCCTTGGACAAGGCTGTCGAGCATGCTGACTCGCTCCAGGCCCAGTTGGACAGCGCCAAGTCGGTGGTGGTGGCCCGCTCCGCCAAGTACGACGAGGCTCTGGCAGCTTACACTACGGCTGTGCAGGCCTTGGCGCAGCAGGTCGCTGGCGCGACACCGCAGACGGCTGGCCCGCCGCTCTCAGGCAAGCTGTCCATCGCCAAGCTGCTCAAAGGGGACAACGTGGAGCTGGACGACGAAGGTCTCTTCGGCTTGGAGGCCCTGGAAGACTACGAGATTCAGGAGTCAGACCGTGAGGAGGCTGCCAGACGCAAGGCTGATCTCCAGAACAAGTTCAAGGCCATGGCGCAGGAGGCGTTCGGCAAGTTCGCGAAGGAGGCCCGCGAGCTCGAGCGTCAGCACTCGGAGCTCAAGGACCGCCTCCAGAAGAAGCGCAAGACCTCAGGCGAGGCGGCCGAGGCGGTGGCGCAGCCAGCGGCACCAGCTGCGGCAGCGGGGGCCAAGACGGCAGGCGAGGCAGGAGCCCCCACGGCGCCTGCTGGCCCAGCGGCCGAGCCTGGCGGCCTCGTCGCCGATGGCGACAAGGATGTGGTGGCGGCGGCGCGCGCGCGGTTGGCTGCTGCAGCCAAGGGCGCTGGCCGCGGTGCTGGCAGCAGCGGCGGGGCCGCCACTGCTCCACGGCCGACCCTTTGACGTCCCTGACGGGGTCGGTCCTCACCATCGGCATCTACACGGTCACGAAGATCTCGCCGTTCTCGGGCTTGTGGGCGATCCACCTCTTCGGAGGTGCCACGTCTGGGACGGCCACTACTACATGGGGCACTGCGACGACGCGCAGTGGTTTTCTTCCTCTTCACCTTCTGCTTCCACTCCCGCATGGGCGCCTGGTCCAGTCTATGACGACTACTTCTACCTAGGCGGCGAGAGTGACGGCACCTCCTTCACCAACACTGGGGCCACCTATCTTGACGGTCCGACGTATGATGACATGCAGGCCGTGGCTGGCCCTGATTACTGCGTCTGGAAAGATATGGACCCTGATAGGCAACGCGCACTTGAGCTCCAGCGTGATCTCGAACGTGCCCTTCGCAGCTTCACGGGGCACTGGCTGGAGGACCCGCACGTCCTGGACGACGATATGGACGGGATGCACTGGAGGCGGCACTGCGTGCCCTACGTTGCCAACTACCTGTCGCACCCGTTTCTGCGGCCGCTGGTCATGGAGAAGGCCCAGCAGGATGGGCATGACAACCCTCACATTGCTGCAGTTGATATGGCTATCGACATCTGCAGGCGCGCATTCCGTGCTCGGCGGCGAGCGCGTTTCCACTACCATGACTGGCTGCGGAGCCTCGAGGCCCTCGACCCCGAGGAGTACGACAACCAGCTTGCCCTCCACGCCGAGGCGATGATCAGGGAGCAGGAGATCTTCGATACTCGCGTGGATCCTCGCCGCCCCGATGGAGAGGGGGCCAGTTCTGCCTCGTCCTACACGGGCTGCTCTGACACGGTGACCGTCAGCGACTACGAGGGCAGCGATCCTGACGACTCAGGTGGTACTACGACTGCGAGCTCCACGGGCAGCTGTCCTGCATCTCATACACGCTGCAGCGCCACGGCTTTTCGGCGCGCGTACAGCCTTGGACGACGTCGTCGGCGGGGCCTTCGAGCTGGAGCAGCCCGACCCCAAGCCGGGCACGATTTACTGCAGATTGTCTTGGGAGCTCCCTCGCCGAGCGTGACCGCGGAGGAGGCGAGGCCAGGAGGCAGGCCAGGGGGTGCTTACGCGGCCAGTAGCTTCGCGAGCTACACCTGCCCTCCGAGCCCGTCCCCCGACGGTGGCACGCAGTTGTCGGGTGCTGCTCGCAAAAACTGGCCCAGCCACAACGAGTCCAGGCCGATGCAGAGACATCGTGGCAAGGCCTGCAAGATCATGACGGTCAATGTCACGGGCTGGGGCTCCCTCCTTACGCAACTGGAGGAGAAGCGCATCCCCGATGACGTGCAGGCTGTGCTCATCCAGGAGCACCACCTGGAGGAGGCCAGGATCGAGTCGGCGCTGAAGGCCGCCAGGGCCCATGGGTGGAAGGCTGACCTCTACCCTGCTCGGCGCACGGGCAACGGCGACGGCGCCACTGGCGGTGTCGGCCTCCTGGTCAGGCCGCACGTCGCCTTCAGACGCCTGCAGTTAGACCATGACGGCATCCATGCGCCTGGCACGGCTCGTCAGGGTTTCTGGACCACCGACCTGGGGCCTAAGGAGGGGCTGGTGCTGGCGGGCCTCTACCTGCACACCAGCAAGGACCTGGAGGATGTGAACCTCGACCTCCTCTTCCAGATCGGCAGCGTACTGCACGCCGCAGGCAGGCCATACGTCCTGGGCGGCGACTGGCAGAACCTGCCCGAGTCCCTCAACTGCCTCCGTTGGCCCAAGGCAGTGAAGGGCGAGGTGGTCGCGCCCGACCAGGCCACGTGCTACACGGCCACGAGCGCCAGGGTCATTGACTACTTCCTCGTGCGGCACGACCTGCATGGGTGCCGTGCTCGCACCTTCGACGGCCTCTCGGTCACGCCGCACAAGGGCGTCATCCTCGAGCTGGACGTGTCGCAGATCCCGCTCATGGTGCGCAAGGCCCACATGGCCAAGGCCTTCCCTTCGAGCCAACTGGTGGGCCCCCAGCTTCCAGGACCTGACTGGCAGGCGGCAAGCGAGGCGGCTGCTGCAGCCCATGACCGCGACAGCCTGGACGGGGCCTTCAGCGCGCGGTTGCGGCGCTACGAGGACGAGCTGCTCCAGCACTTCGGCTGCGAGCAGCCTGAGCGGTACCGTGGCAGGTCCGACGGCGTTCGTCTGGTGCACTCGACCCTGCAGATGCACTGCCGCAGCCAAGCGAAAGGACGTGGAGCAGCTGACCCCAGCGAGGGCCACTGGCAATGGCTTGCCCAGAGGCTTCGCGAGTGGCGCTGGCGACGTGCCGCGGTGTGCCACCACCCTAGCGCTGAAGGACAGCTACGCCTTCGTCGGCTGCAGCTGCGGCTTATGCGGTTCACCTTGCCGCAGCCCACGCGCTGGCCCGACGTGTGGGAGGCATGGCGGTCCCTCGTCCGACGACTCGATCAGTTGGGCGAGGACGACCTCGACCACCTGATGCACGACCTGGAGAAGTGCGCCGAGCGCGCTGCTGGCCAGGCCTCCTACCGCAGGTACAAGGCATGGGTGGACTGGTCCCATGATGCCACCGCTGACGGCGGCATGCGGCGCGCCTTCAAGTGGATCAAGCAGGATGCCCCCTGGGCGTGCACCAATGCAGCGGCTGGACCTGGCATTGCCAAGTCTCTCGTGGACGAGGCACGTGACGCTGTTCAACCGTGGCACGACCTATGGGGCCAAGGCGAAGGCATCACAGCCGTTCGCTGGCCCGCGGACGTCGGGGACATCGAGCTCCCGTCGATCGAGGACCTGCGGAAGACAGCACACACCTTCAAGTCGGACACAGGGCTGGGCTGTGACGTGGTCCACCCTCGACATCTGATTTTTCTAAGCGATGATGCGCTACAGACCTTGTTGGAACTCTGGTCTCTGATGTTGCGTATTGGCTACATCCCGGCCCCGATTCGTGTCATGCGCGAGGCTCTCCTTCCGAAGCCCGATGGTGGGAGACGCACAATTGGCATCTTCCCTGGCACGGTGCGGCCACTGACGCGATACTTGCGGGCCACCACGGGCGCGAAGTGGGCCGACAAGAACAAGCGCAGCTACATCTTCGGCACCGAAGGTCAGAGTTGTGAGGCCTGTGTATGGAGGCAGGCGGCTGCAGGCGAGTGGGCCACACACAGTGGTAAGACCTGCCTCTCCATCTTGCTGGACCTCTCCAAGGCTTATGAGTACATCCGCTGGAACCGTCTGGCGACCCGTGCTACCGACCTGGGCTTCAACATGTGCTTGCTACGGCTGCTGCTCATGCTGTACTCCATGCCCAGGCTGCTATCCTTCGAAGGCATCGTCTTCGAGCTGATGACGCCGATGCGTGGCGTGGTAGCAGGATGCTCATTCGCTGACCTGATGATGCGCATCTTTCTTATTCCCATTTTGGATGACCTGGTGAGCCTGCCTGGCATCTCAGTCGGCAACGTGGTC